CCCCAAAACCCCAAAACCCCAAAACCCCATAAGATGAGAATAGTTTGAGTATTAAATAGTAATAAATTTAAGGTTAATATCTTAATTAAGATGCAGAAATACGTTGCTTTATCAGTACAGCCACTGTGGGACAAGTACCAATTTGAAGCTAATATTGATTCAGGCGCCTTTGGATCAGTATAAAAAGTAAAGAACACTTAAGACGGCAAATTCTATGCAATGAAAGTTCAAAATATCAAAAATCTAATGACAAGTGAGCCAAACAATTACAGCAATGAGATGGTCCGTATATTTAGAGAGATTGACACATTCAGACTAAGCCATCCGAATATCACATAATTCAAAGAATCTTACTTCACGTATGAAGATGAGTTTGCCATTATTACAGAGCTGGCAGAATCAAATCTCAAAACATTCAGAGAAAACACAATGCTGAACAATGCTCAGATTGCTGGCATAATGATCCAGATACTTAAAGGGACCATCCATCTCCATAACCAAAATATCATGCACAGAGATCTAAGTCCTGATAACATTTTAGTTTTTGAGAATGGCAAAAAATTCAAAATTTGCGATTTCGGAATGGCATAGTTGTTATCCAGTTCAAATTCAATTGTTGGAAAACCATTTTTTATGGCACCTGAAATAGGCTTAGGTGAGGAATTCAGCTATAACACTTAAGTTGACATTTGGTCTCTAGGTGTAATACTTTACTACCTGTGCACTAAGAAATACCAATACTAAGCCAAGACAATAGCCTAGATTAAGAAGTAAGATTAAACGAAGCATATTCTACTTGAAGGTGAATAGAAGGTATTCGAGCTGCTCCTAAATAAAATGCTATAGCATAACCCTGCTTAAAGAATAGATGCACACTAGGTGCTTTATGAACTTTGCATTCTTAACAACGAATCGCTAGACAAGCATTTAGAAATAGAGGAAGAAAAGCAAAGTTATCATAGTCCTCCTAGTAATGATGAAGACAAATTTGCTTTTGCCTTAACGATTTAATCAGCCAATACTATTGTTAACGAAATTATAGCCAAGTTAGGAGACTTCAACTATGGTGCAATTGATAAAGTTCATCCAAATTCAAACAGAATCTTCATGCCTCTTATTAAATATGATAATGGTGATATGTATCAAGGTGAGTATGATAAAGTCACTAAACAAAGAGATGGAAGAGGCAGATTTATTGACAGTGATGGAGATGTTTATGATGGATTGTGGAAGAATGGTTAGAGCGATGGATATGGAAGATTAATGAATATTAATGGAGATTATTACATTGGTGAGTTGAAAGATGGTAAAATGAATGGATATGGGAAGTATTATTCGAAGGATGGAAATATTTATGAAGGGTAATAGGTTAATAGTAATAGGCAAGGATTAGGATTGTGGAAATGGTGGGATGGTGCTTAATACTATGGATAATGGGTGAATAGTTAGTAATAAGGTGTAGGAGTATTCACTACCAATGATGGAGATATTGAAGTTGGATAGTGGATGAATGATTAATAACATGGAGTCTTGATGTACATTCCAAAGGATGGTGGGCAGATAGAAATAAGGAAATATGAGAATGGGAAGTTAGTAGAGACATTATTTTTAACAGATAATGTTTAAAAGTGAATTAATTTGATTATCTAGAAATCAATATGCTCAACTCAGAATGCGCTTGGGGTTTTGGGGTTTTGGGG